AAAAACTGATCAGTGATAATTGTGTCCTGAGTATGCCAGAAAGCAAGATTGATGGTTCAAGCGTTGTAAAAAGTGATAAGCAATCATTGTTTGAAGAGCAGGCTGTACCTATGCAGTAATATGCTAGCATGGAATTTTGCATCAGTGTTTTCCTCGTTGAAAAGTTATTTCTGTTGGCCTTGGATTTAAAATGGTTAGATCTTTAGACTATCAAATATGTAAAACAAAGGGAATGGAACTACCTAATTGCATTTCCCTGTTCCTGTATTAAATTCGCAGAAAGTTTTTACTCTCTTAAGTGGCCTTATTTTTTTAATAAATAATTTTTAGATGACTCTGCAAACTTCTGTAGGCAAATCTGCATTCTTTCAATTTTGTTTTATTGTTAGGCATGTTAAGAAGTTGAAACCAGTTATGTTTTTAAAAAGCTATTCCAATGCTTTAAATTCTCAAATGAGATAACAAAAATTAGGTGAACGATTTATTAGAAATTAGATGACTAAACAGTCATCTAGTTCTTAAAATCATAATTTTCAGTCTTGAGCTTAGACTTTTTTTTCTCTTTGGAAAAAGTTCCGCAAGGAAATACTTTTGAAAACTTATAATTACTCTGTCTTTTCAATTACAGGAGCATCCGAGATGTCAGTAACAAAAAAGTTGTCTCAAAATGTCTTTTCCTATCCCCTGCTTTTCAAACCATGGCACATAGAACACATAGCATCTTACTTTCTTGGAAAACTGTGACCTGAAATTCATCATCAGTATAGCTCTGGTGATGGTCATATTGTCTTTTTTCTTCATTGGCTGTCTATAAAAACTTGGGATAGTACCCCACAGCTTCAAGATTGGGTTTTGATCTGTAACCAGCAGATATTAACTGCTTAGAACTCATCAAAGTTAGCTCAGAGGTGCAACTTGTAGGTCGGCTGTTGGTGACCTGGTCCACTTCTGTCAGCCATGTCTTGGAGGTTATTTTTCAAGCTGAAAAATTAATTCAGTTTTGTCAGTTGCAGCTCACTCCTGGTCTTTTCTTCTTTTTTTTAAAAAAAGTGTCAGATCTAGTGCTTATTTCTTTGAAAAGATCAGTTATAGTAAATGTGTTGTATATGTGAATCAGCTCTACTGTATGTGCACAACAGCCCCTGTAATGTGATAAGGGAGAAAATCCCGAACTTGCCCCCCTAATACAGTGATAAAAGTAGCCGACCTAACTAGAAAATTCATGCACGTATATTACCTTATTAGCAAAAGACGAGGCAGGATTTCTGTAAAGGAAGGCTTGGAGAGCCAAGTGTTACAGTTACCTTATGTAGTTTTCTGCAGATTAACAAGACATGGCTTTGGAGAGATTTAAAAACATCAAATGTGCTATCCCAAATTTAGCAAGTAGCAAGTGAATAGCTTGTGTATGGTAATTGCTCGTTAGAACCCACTTGTTTGGAATATCTCTTTAGCTTAAAGTTTAAAGGAATGTTGCATTTCAGACTAGCTTATTACAAATAATATTATTGGATTATGCTTAGTAGTTATCTCAGACACAAACATGACAAGTTTGCAGTGGATTTGCTAATCTAATTCTTGATTAGTTTTATGTTTAATTATTCAGTTTTCACAGTGGCAAAATCCAGTTCCTTCACTTCTTTGTTAGTTGCAGATGGTTCTGAGTCACTATTCAGTTTTCTTGTTTTTCTTCTGTACCAGTGAAGTTAATGGCTCAGCAACAGAATGAACTCTTGGGTGGAAAGCTTGTTTCAGCACAGGAGTCATGTTTTGCATAGTCTAGTACTCACGAGCTGTGAATCACAGTAAATAGTTCTCAGGAAGCAAGTAGAGATTTTTGCCGAGTAGTGTTTTCACCTTCTGCTTGCCTCCAAGTGCTACTGGGATTAAAAAATGAAATTGAAAAAAATCAAGAGATAAATTCTGTTCATCAGTCTTTCATGACAGTGTGTTCAGGTTTGACATCATTTTATGAATAGCTTCGGACCTTAAGAGGTAGCTTGCTTTTGTCATGTGAGTAGGTAGGATTAAAGTGTTTTAAAGATAGCTAAGGAGATGCTGGCTTTGAGAAAATAATCTTTGATGCATTGGATGATAAACAGTATAATTTTTCACTTGTATATCTAGCATATTACACTTTTTTAAAAGACTTCTAAACTTTTACTTAGTTGCAGTACATAGCAGGGAAAGTGAATTATCCAGGTCCCAAATGGACTGGGCATATGATAATCCTGTATGTGTAATAGTACTTGAATGTTAAACCAGAATGATTTCAGTGTGTATGAAGTCCATGTTTATCTTATAGAAATCATGGGGTCTGGGAGGTCCTTATATCAAGCTTGCCCACCCACCCCCAGATTCTTTTAGCTTTTTAGAGACTAGAATTGAGTGTATTGTGGTTTAGTGTGAGGTCTCATTCATAGCCCTTTAGGACATGATGTGCATCGTGTTGAGGCTTTTAAAAATAAATGACGGGATGTTAAGTTCAGTTGTAAGCTGGCAGGTACAAAAGAACACAGTTTGATCAAAACCTCATGCTAGATTTATTTCAGATGTATGTAGTGGTGGGGTTTTTTCCTCTTTAATAGTGTAATATAAGGTAGAACTTCTGTAAGTGAGACCACTATGGAAGAAGTATGTGCTACTGAGAATGAGAGAACCTTTTGCCTCAGACTTACTGAATTTAATATGATTTTGAAGAAAGTTTGCCGACTCTTCTGTAAACTTTTTTGTGGGTTGAAACTTCCAGACTGTTACTGGAAATCTTTCATAATCCCTATTTACTAGTTAGTTGGAAAAACGAAAGCACACCAATGTTCTTGATGAAATGTGTTTTTAAGGATACTGATTTAAAATAGATGCATATTGAAGTAACCTTTTTTTAAATAAAAAAATAAAAAGGTTCTTCTTGTCTGGGAATAAAGATGAATTGGACGGATACAACATCTGCAAGATGCAACACCTCAAACATGCGTACAGCCATTATTTACTTTCTTGCCTGACTTTTGCCTTCCACGGTTTCAAATGTTATTTCTGGTAAATAGGATTGGAGCAGCAATATGAATGTCAGTGTTCACAAAATTATTTAGAATAATATCTTTCCATTAGTGGGAATGTAGAGTGATAATCAACGAAACAGTAAAACAAATTAGGTTCAGAGTGTTCTCAAACACAAAAGGGAAACACTGGAAGGAGAGCGACGGTTATAAATGGATTGGCACTGTTAATAATTAAAGAAGTAATATTAAAGTTATCTGTTTAGATGGCAATGCTGGTTTTAGACTACCACTTTGAATTCATTGTTACTTGGGCTTTTTTTTTTTCTTTCATACAGGGGAGAAAAAAAGCCCTGCAAAAGTGTGGTTACAGAAAACATGCTTTTTCACCTCCACAGTTTTCTATTAATATTGTTCTTCTCAGCTCTGTTACATTTACAAAATACATAGAATTTTTTTTTTTTTTTTTTTTTTATAGAATGAAACGAGGAAGGAAAACTAATGAGGCCAGCAGCAGTTCATCTGAAGAGACAACAGAGAAAGAATCCAAGAGAAACAAGGTTATAGATGAGAAGACTCTAGTTGTGCACAGTCCTGACTGGGCGAACCTGCTTCAGGACATTATCCTGCAGGTGTTTCAGTACTTGCCCCTTCTGGATCGTGCTCATGCATCACAGGTCTGCCGAAGCTGGAACCAAGTGTTTCATATGCCTGATCTCTGGAGGTGTTTTGAGTTTGAACTGAATCAACCAGCTACGTCTTACTTGAGGGCTACACATCCTGAACTAATCAAGCAAATAATAAAGAAGCATTCCAATCACCTGCAGTATGTGAGCTTCAAGGTAGTGTATTTTATAGGCTTTTAAAAAGTAATTTTATAAAAATAAAAGCATTTGTTGAACTTCATTCTTTTTTCTTTTTCTTTTTTTTTGCATTTTATTTAGAATATTTGAAGGCAATGTCTCCGATACTTTTGAGGCAGTTTTGGTGGTTCATCTGTATAAATATCAAAGCATGAGAAGTATGATTTAATTAATGTCAGTAATTGAAATACTGATGATAAGTGGTAATTGACAGTTGTGATCAAAACAATTTAACATGCTGAAAATTAAAGAACGTCACTAAAAGTCAGGAAAGGCTTATGATGGTCTTTTTGTCATTAGGATTGTCAGTTATTTAAAAATAAATACGGCAGGTGTCAGTGGGGAAGTGTGGTAGGCCTTGTTTTCAGGCCTAGTATACTGAAGAAATGGGTTCTCTAAATGGGCGTATAGACGTGGAGGTTACCTCCCAGTTCATTTGTTTATTTGGATTTATTTTCAGGACAAAACTTGGAATAATAGTTCTGAATGTACCTTTCCATTGCCTTAATTCCCTTAGGTGGGGATTTTTTTGTTTGGTTGTTTGGTTTTTTTCGTTTTTCTTGTAGCATCTTAGCTACTTAAAATTCTGCCTCAGTGAGTGGGCAGAAATACTTCCGTTCTGATACCACTGTATGTGTGGGTGCCTGCCTTGGAATTAAGTTTGATCAGGATGCATATATTGACCGTTTTCCCATTTCACATCTTGTAGGGAGTTGGATCTAATGTTCATGGTTAGAAAACATCTGGTGCACAGAGAGTGACTTCAGGACTCCTAGTAAGCAACTAGCAGTTTTAGTACTAAATTGTTTGGGATTGTCCATGTATGGCATCTACTCAGCACAGCTGCGTTTCAGTTAACTGACAAAGTACATGGGATTTGCACAGGATGGTATGTCTGCTGATTGTTCTTGTCTGAGAAATACCATTTGGTGAGAATTGGCTTTGTTAACATCATGGAATTGTTTTCAGCAGATGAAAACATTGGCCTGCTTATCACCTGTTTTTTGAAAGGGTGCTGTGAAAGAGTTGTGGCTGCATATGCATCAGCGATGTGACAAATTTGGAAAGGAAATAACTTCTGTAGCAAGGTGGACATACTAGTTGTTTGATTCTGAGATCTGGCGGTTTTAATGTAGGAATCATCAGCACGTGGGTAGCTGGGGCACCTCTGACTGATCACGTGTATTGCTACTGCTTGATGCAATACCAGATACAAACTCTTATCGCAAGGTTTGCAGAGGTTTTATCAGTGTCCAAATAAAGAAAATCTATAGCAGTATTGGAATGACCTTCCAGTGTCTATTTCCTGTCTAAGTTGCTTTGCAACCAGTGATTCTGAAGGATTTCAGATGCCCTTCACCGGTAGAGTGATGCCCAGATCATTTCTTGAACGCATCCCTTCAGTTGTCTCTTGGTGTAGCAGAATGAACACTTGATTGCCGGAAATACGAAGTGGCAAGGATAATCACAAGGAGATGGATATAACACTGACTGTTACTCTGTCACAACTGAAAACTTAGGGGTTTTTTGTAGGCAAAGAAAGATAAGATTGTTGAAAACCAAGGTTTTTCAACTTATATTCAAGCAGAAATGAACATTCATTGGGCTTCGATCAGTTGCTACCAAGGTAGCATGGCTTATGGTAGACTTAAAATTGATCCTTGTGATCAAGCTTTTTACTGTTCTGTAGGTTTGCAAAGCTGTCTATGCCTACTGTATGTAAGAGGTTATTCGGCAAGCACATCTGAGTGTTGGGGGAAATCCACTGGGGGAACATTAAGTGATTCGGTTGTGTAACAAGCTGACTAATGAAGATTTTTATGGTGGTGTTTTTTTTCAGAGTATCTGTTGCATACCTGTTGTGGTATGAATGATGAAGGACCAGTCATATAGGTTCATGTGATAATACACTTAACTTTGCAGCAGCTCTATGTTATAAGCTGAGTCACTGTAAAAGGAAGCAGCTTTTTCACACACTAAATAAAGGATTTACAGAATTCCTGCATTTTAATAATGGAGAATGTAAAGAGGAAGTGGGGTAGGCTCTGGACCCAAATGAACCTCCACTTGCTTATTATTTGATGTGGATTGAATATCTGGGAACAAACTATTTAGCTGACCCTTCACTATGCTAAATTCTACCAAAGTGTTTGGGAGAGTGGTAAATTTTTAGCAAATTATCTTGGATTTCTGGTATGTACTTTTTGGGGAAAAAAGAATGACATTGATGGATTCCCTGTGAGATGTTTTGTGGGGTTTTTTTGACATCACATTTCAGAAGGTAAAGTGAAAAAAACATTAAAGTACATCTACTCTACTCTGCTTTTTTGTAAAAAGTGTGTTTGATGCAGTGTTTTCTGAACAATAAATCTGTTTTGTTCTAAGGTGGACAGTAGTAAGGAATCTGCAGAAGCAGCTTGTGATATTTTATCACAGCTTGTGAATTGCTCTCTGAAAACACTTGGGCTAATTTCAACTGCCCGGCCAAGCTTCATGGATTTACCAAAGGTATTTTAATATGTATATTTTCCTATAGCAAAATATTGCAATGTTTCTTACAACATTTCTATAATTTTATGAAAAGTTTCATTGTATGAATATGAATCTTTGGTAAAGAAGACTTTATTACTGGCCTTTATTACAGGGAAGAACTGAGATGTTGTACTAAGATGGATAACTAAAGTTTCACTCATTCTCTGCATTATGTGAGAACTTAGTCCTGACCTTGTTCGTCCAAGTCCTCCTGTCTATTGACCTCAGTGTAATACTGAGCAACATGGTGAAAGTGAGGAGGCTAGATGATTCATGTCTAGGTAATTGTACTGTGTGGGATGTTTCGGAGATGATTATAATTGAGTGAGTGGTAGAGTTCTATCCATGTGGACTTGCTGTAGGGATTATATGATCAATGAGCTCTCTTTAGAAAGCAGTATGATCATGATTTTTGATACTTCATGTCATGCAGTCAAGGGTCAGATTATTAGGCAAAGCGTGCTATTATTTCTGAAATTCTGTGTCAGTTTTTTACCTTGCATGTTTATGAAAAATTAGATGTTGTTAGAAGGCATCTAATCTAGAAGACAACAAATCTCTTGTATGTGCTTCTAAGGAGAATTCCTGCTAGTGAGGTAGAAGCATACTATTGCTGAGGAGCAGGAGAGGGCCTGGGGCAACCTGGACTGCTGCTTCTATGGCAGTGATGTCTCTGATGTCTCACAGCCTCAGTTCTTGAATCCAGTCCACATGTAGGTGAAGGGCCAGATAAAACTAGGCCATTACCTGGATCTCAGTGATGTCATTGCTGATGACGGCAGCAAGGACAAGGAAGAACTAGGGACAGCCTCGGGAAAGGAAGTAGGCTATAGAGTTTAAGCAAGGTTAGCTACAGAAGGATTATCAATTATTATCCTTGGCAGTCATCACAGCCACGTCATGTAGTTCTCTTGAATATGTATTTTTAATCCTTAATTTTCAAAGAGGCTTTCCAGATCTTTTAACTAGTTTTTGTATGTTTTTTTCCTTTTTTTCCAGTTGCCAGCTGGGGTTCAACCATGACAGTTCCTAATAGGTTCACATGCAGCCTTTAAAAAATATATTCAAAATGAACCAAAATCAACTCTAGGCATAATTTGCCTTTTGATGTTTACCACTCCAATAATATTGTCACGAGCATACAGGGACCGACAATGATTCTTAAATTTTTTTAGTCCACTAATGAAACTAAGGAGTTGAATTGGACCATGAATAAGTTCTTGTGGGAAGCCATTAGTAACAGGCCCATTGGATGAGAAGCAAGCAAAGATGAATGGATCTGAAAAATAGTTAACGCTATACAATTCTTTTTTTTAATCAGACTGCAGAGGAAGTCTGAACTACTTTGCATTATCTTCATCAGAGCTTTTCTGATTTCAAGTAATGTGACGTGTGGCAGATATTTTTAAATCACATTTAGCATTGTGTTGCTTAGTCTTTTCACTAAGCACATTCTACATGAATCTTTTGGAGAATCATACTATAGGCTACATATGTGGCAATGTTGAAAAGACATTAAATCACTAGCTTTTACATTTTGGGATATTACCTGTCTTGTGTTAGCTCTTCAAACTACAGTTTCAAGTTACCATGTTTTTGTAAACATGGTTAACTTCCTTTGCCTTCTTAGTGAAGTAAATTACATTCTAAATACAGAGAATAAAACCGCAGCATTAACACTTTCAGAATACAGAGTGGAAATATTAAAGCACCTTTTCTTCTGTACATAATGTATATAATCAGCATATTGTCAGTATAGTTGGAAGTGGTCCCTAAAGCCAAAATACGTAACGCTTCCGATTTGAACTTTCTGTTTCCATTTGCATGAACTGACTGACAGTTTATGTTAATGTGAAAATATTAATTCTTGCTCTAAATATAACTGTATATGAGTTTTATAAAAAAACACAAACGTATTGCATAAGAATGACCAAATACTGTTGCCAGGCCTTCTCTCATATACATGTATTCAGGATTCTACATGTGCCTGTGGCTCAGAGTGAGACACTATTGAAATCAAAGTAGCAGGTAGTTTTATGGGATACTTAATGTAGTGCATGGAGGAAGTACTTTTTTTAAGTCTTCTATGTAGTCAGTCTTGTAAGAAATCATGAAGATAAGCTGATTATTCACTTCCTTTGTACCACCAATGATTTCTACAAGGGCTGCTGTATCTGCTCCTTAGTCTGTGTTTCTTCAGTTAAGGTGTCCTGGGCTCTGTCCTTATTGCTGAGTTTCAGTGGTTACATAAAAATGCTGAGGAGCAACCTTGAGCACTGGACCTACGTTATCTATGCTGCTTAATCAGTAATTAATTGATCACCTGCTCCTTGGCTCTGTTTGGACCGCTCCAGTTAGCTTTCCAAGATAAATCCATTCAAATGCTAAATGGTCTTTGTGGGTGGTAGGCAGGCAGTGGTATCATTAGGCTTTGGATACATCTTAACAGGACAGGGTTGCCACTCTTGACTGTGTTTGCATCTCACCAATGCAGCAGAACTCACCATGTGGGAATTCTTGGTCTAGAAGATGCTTCTTTTAGAGCGCGACTTGCAAATTATCCTCAAAATTAGGGCTTCTAGGCTTTCTCTTTGCTTGTGGTCTTCCTATGGATTTAAGTTTGTGTAGTGGATTGTCCTTGGTCAGGTTCTTGATTTATGTTTAACGCTAGACGTTCTGATTTGCTAAATACATAGACTGATAGCAAAAAATTATTCTGCTTCCTTTACTCAAAAATATGTCCATTTTAGTATTAATTTTTAATTATGCAATATCAAAAGAATACATTTTCAGCAAATGCTGTCAATAAGTAAAAGAAGACTAGGACTGCTGTGTACAGTGTAAAACCATTGAGATTTTTATTTCAGATACTGCTGTTTCATTTAAGCTTTTTTTTTTTCCCAGTCTCACTTTATTTCTGCACTGACAGTGGTGTTTGTAAACTCCAAATCCCTCTCTTCACTAAAGATTGACGATACACCAGTAGATGATCCATCTCTCAAAGTGCTAGTGGCTAACAACAGCGACACGCTCAAACTGTTGAAAATGAGCAGTTGTCCTCATGTTTCTCCAGCTGGTAAGCTACTATGTTTTGTTTTGGTTTTTTAATGTATGCATTAAATTCCATCTGAAACCAGTAAACCTCTGAAAAAATAGGAGTGGGGTGAGAGCGAGGATGAATGTGGTATCTACAGCAACTGTCACTGAATAAAATACTAATTCAACTCGCTGTCCATCCATCCATCCATCCCACCACTTGCAGAGTACTGAGCTAATAATAAAATAATTCCTGTCTCTTCTGGACAAATAACAAACCTCTTGTGGACCTTAAAGAGTATGTATTGACTTGATAGTGCACTACTTCTGCAATTACTAAGTATTCCAGTATAATTAATCTTTTTGGAACATGAGTTTCTTTTCCACGGTTCATTATATATGGTTTTTGAATGTTGCAGTGTTATGGGTTACGAAGATGCTGGTTTAGTCATTCTGAAAAAAAGCAGTTTAATCTTTGCTGGAGAATAAGTGCAGACAGCATCAGCAAAGGGGCGATGAGACTGAGGTGTGCAGAACTTCTGCCATTACCAAATGTACTTCATTAACACTCTTCAGTGTGTTTGTAGCAAGAATGAAGCCAGCTCCTATCAGAATGAAAGCACTCAGATTGCTGAAGTTCACAGAATTAACATTTGTGGAAGATTCATGCAATGCACAGCAAGTTTAAGATTGCTTCACAGCCCATCAACTTAACACTAAACAGGTTTTTTTACTGAGAAATGGAAGAGGAATTATAAATGAGATGGTGGCAACTTAGTTAAAATCCTCTTCTGAGGATAAGTAGAAACTACTGTAGTCACCATAACTTTCTTCATGCAAATATATTGCAGCTGTAAATATTAGGTATATTATATGTAAAATTCACCAGCAGGACTCCTAATATGTGGGGAAAATGATACTGTAGCAGAAGGCATGTTGCTGTGGTGATAACAAACAAAACACAAATTTAATACCTTTTGCAGGTGTAGCTCTCAAACAAAGTCTTGTATTTGGTTTTGTATAAAGAAGTCCTGAAAATGCAGGTTTGTTTTGCAGCAGATTTGTCCAGCAAAATGTTCACCAGTGTGTTAACTGGAATGCTATTTCCTTCAAAGCTTTGTAATCGTAGATAGGGGCTTGTTTAAATGAGATTGTTTGACTGGTTTTTCTGACTTAAAATTTGATTTGAGAATCCCTGTGTCGGAGAAGTACAGGAGCCATAACGTGTCTGTCGGGAGGAAGAAGCTCCAGCAGTGATTTGTAGCTAGGCAAAGAGAGTAATTTCCATGGACTTGAATCCAAGAGCAACCTGTCAGCTCCAGCAGACTTTGCTGGTTTGTGGCAAATCCGTGCTAGAAGGTTTTATGGAACATCATGCGCTTGGTAATGTGGGAGAGGGGCACGGGGTTTACAAAGCTGTTTGACTGTTGTATTCTGCTTGATGTATCTTTTATGATGTTTTAAGTGGAAGGAACAATGGGTGAGAAACAGCAATGCCTGTTTAAGGAACAAGGAGCATAACTACTGTTGTCCTTCATGGAGCGGAGGTGAATAGAATGGGATCGGATGCATTAGTGACAACATCAGAGAGTGGTAAGCAAACGGCAGGAAGGTTTGATTCCTTAATTCAGGTATGAGCGTGCCTTGAGATGGGACAAAAAGTAGAATAAAAGAAAGGAGCTGGTATGTGGCTAGTTGCCTTCAGAGCAGGCAGGCTGCAAAAATTACACTCTTGAAGGAAAATGAGAAACTTTGAGCACCAAGACTTACCTGGATTTTTTTTCTAATGGGAATTTTATAATTAGCAGGCTGCTATAAATGTGGAAAAACTTTAATTGAACCAAAAGAGCCATGAGTTATGCAAAACTACTTATAGATGCACTTAAAATGGTATAACATGCCTTCAAAGTGCAGTTGGAGGAGGGGGAACATGTTCATTACTAGATTAGTTCTTAAGAAATGTGCTAGTGAAGGACAGAGAACAGGAATGCAAGTAGTGCAAGAGAGGCTCCACTACTGCAGGAATAAAGGGAAAAGATTGCTGTCAAACTGTGAATTGCTTCCAAAGGGTGCTGTGAATAATCCCTAAGTTACTGTACAAAGATAAAGAGGCATGTTTGAGTTTGGGCTGGAGAAACAAAGGCAGTGGTGTATTTCTGATCTTTGGGAGCATATCTGAAGTTTCTTCTGCTTGCCGTTTCCCCTCTGAATGTTAACTTGCATTAGAACTGCAACAGTACCTTGTAAAACAAAATAATGGTTATTTTTAAATTCACGTGGATGTGCTGTTGTTTATTACCTGAAATATTAGTTATTGGCAGAGAGGGAACTCAAAGTATTTTTGTAAAGGTTGTATAAAGGCTCTGCTTTGGGGGTAGGGGGGAAGAGTGGATGTAGGGTGTCTCCAGCAGCAGTTCAGTACATGGATATTTTTTTTTTTGATGCAAATCTGTGTTGTATGGTATCAGAGTGATTGACCTCTTGGTGACACAAAGGTTTAGGCAGCACCGGGGGATGTTCTGTGAATGTACCACTAGCATCATGGGCTGCAGGCAGGCCCTCCAGCAGGTATCTACCTACACTGTGTTCATTATCTGTTCTGTATGCAGGATATATTATGTCATTGCCAGTGTGGGATGTGGATATCCAGCCCATGCCCCATAAAAGATCGCAGCAAGTTGAACGCCAGTTCTTTCCTTTTTGCATTGCACTAGTCAGTAAAGTACCCTTACAGTTAACAAAGATTAGTTTTTGAAGGGTAGCAGTCCGGACAACAAGCTGGTTTGGATGCTAAGTTGTAGCAAGTTGTTTTCTGAAACTGTGTAGTGATGAGGCAGTGTATCTGAAGCTTGAAACGCTGTTTACAATATTTCATCTGTCAACAGATCTCAGTATAAAAACGTGTGTGAATCTGCTTAAATGGAGTGGTCGTAGTACCTGTTGCAGGAGTATTGCTGTAAGGATAACTGTTATGATTTAAGGACGGGAAGTGATCTCTGGAATGTGTAGAAGGTACACAGAAGTTTGTAGTTATACTTAGTTGTTCACATTTTGTACTCCAATCTTAAAAAAAAAAAAAAAAAGAAAAAAAAAATCCTGGATTTTCACTTCATCTTGGATCCCATCCCTTCCCCCCTGAATGTAATAATGAGTATGCTTACATAGATCAACTGTTTTTACAGGAAATAGTTGCAATACGAGTTGGATTAAAATTCTGTTTACCTAAATTCAGGGGGTTTTAAATTCATTAATAAAATTTATATATTTGAAATGACAGTATTTGATATAGTTAGAAGAGCTTCTGAGGCATGTGTTCTTGCAGATCCTCAGGTGGAAAATACATGCTTTTTTGGTGTATATTTATTAATGCAATATTTTTACAGTCATTTTTTTAAGAAAGTGGTTTTAGGCTCAGTATAGGCTTGTCTTTTGAGTTGAATAACTGCATTTTAAAATAATTGCTGTCTTCCTATATTTCTTCCCATCGTTTCAAAGCTATAGAGTATTGAGCTCAGGTGTTTCAGTTGCATATTAAATGCTATGTTTTCATCTCCTCTACTAAAGGAAAGACCATATCCTAAATTTCACGTGGTTTTCTGGGTCATGTGAAATGGAGAGGACTGTGTGCTTTTGGTTGTACTGCTTTTTTTTTTTTTTTCAGTACTGTTACCAGTGTGGTACCATTGCTTGTATCTGCAAATAGGATGAGTGGAAACCTTGTAGACTGAACTGAATTCTTTTTGTTAATGTCTTTGTCTTCCATGAGCAGCAGGTTATATTGATTCATTAAAGGGAGAGTCTGAAAATCGCTTTTCTAGGAATTACTGCTCCCAGTTTTTAGTGCTTTCCCTGCTTCTTGCTGTTGCTTTTCCAAATTTAAGTATTTATTATACTTTGCTAGAAAGAACAAATACTGACAGCAGCAACTTCTGTATTTAGTTAAAATCTGGCATTCGTTTTACGCTGGCTTTCCTCAGGTGACAGATTTCCTCCTCAGCCGCTTTGTCAGCCACAGAGGGGGACAGCAGTTTTTCCAGAGTGGGCTAGGGAAATACTTTTATTAGGAGTAAGCCCCTGTTACAAAAATGAATTTGAGTATATGTGGTCTTACAACAGGACAGAACAGTCAGAGTATGCTATTTATGTATTTGTCACATGAGAATCGACTCCCACAGGTAAGTATACAATGAAACGTGTCAACTTCTTTATGTTTCCCTAGCAAAATAGCGATGTAGTTGCATAGTGTACGTGTACCTTACCTTGTAGGTATGAAAAAGTCACAAGACCATGCTTATGTGAAAAAGATTCATGTCCTGGTTGTGCAGTACAATTTTGTTTTGATGTTAGGTCTTGACTGCATGTTGAAATAGATGGTCTTTGTGCTCTCTTGACACGTGAAAACGAACTCGCTGTTACGTTTCTTGTTCAGTTATTGGTATGTTCATCTGTGTAACCCCTTTCATAATGTTCTCTTTTCCCAGGTATCCTTTGCGTGGCTGACCAGTGTCATGGTTTACGTGAACTGGCGCTGAACTACCACCTGCTAAGTGATGAGCTTCTGCTTGCTCTGTCTTCTGAAAAACATGTCAGGTTAGAACACTTGCGCATTGATGTTGTCAGTGAAAATCCTGGACAGACTCAGTTCCACACGATTCAGAAGAGCAGCTGGGACGCTTTCATCAAGCATTCTCCTAAAGTAAATTTAGTAATGTACTTTTTCTTGTATGAAGAAGAGTTTGACCCATTCTTTCGTTACGAAATACCTGTCACTCACCTTTACTTTGGAAGATCGGTAAGCAAAGACGTACTTGGCCGCGTTGGGATGACATGTCCTCGGTTAGTTGAACTGGTGGTGTGCGCCAATGGATTGCGGCCCCTGGATGAGGAGCTGATCCGTATTGCAGAACGGTGCAAGTATCTGTCAGCCGTTGGCCTCGGGGAATGTGAAGTCTCTTGCAGTGCCTTTGTTGAGTTTGTGAAGATGTGTGGCGGTCGTCTCTCTCAGCTGTCTATTATGGAGGAAGTTTTGATTCCTGATCAGAAATACAGCTTGGAGCAGATTCACTGGGAAGTTTCAAAGCATCTCGGTAGGGTCTGGTTCCCGGACATGATGCCCACATGGTAAAGTCCTTAGAAGACTTCGGGGTGGATGGAATAGCACCTTAAACCCAAGCTTGCCGTATTGCAATTTACTGTATAAGCTTATTTAATACTACAGTTTTTACTGTAAGTTACTTGTTTGATTAGAAAATTAACTTTTATTCAAAAATTATTTATGAAATCCAGATTCAAAAATAGATCACGGACAGCTCCAAAACACCTTTTCATCCAAACAAAAATCTGTTTTCTGTTTTAGAGTTACTCTTTTTCATTGACAGTGACCTCAAACATTTATGGAAATTAAAAAAAACTGTATTTAAAATATTGAAATGTACCTGCAAAATACCAGTTTTAATATGCTGTCCTCCTTTGATTTAGATACTAGGATTGAACATGATCAGATTTGATCTTAAAAAATAAACAAAACCCCACCAAAACTGCATGCTTCTGTTGCAGACTATAGCGTTTCTAAATCCAGTCACCTAGATGACAAGGTTAAGATTATAAGGAGTATTTAGTAGGCTGTGAAATATACTACTTCTTTTATATAAAAGTCATAAAAGGCAAGAGCAATACACAGTAATATAGGTTAGACAATTAAAATACTAAGTTTGCTACCTTATTCAACAGATTATTAGATCCATTGAAAACATATTTAGAGTGCAAACCAATAGTAGTGCCAGCTACCGAAAGTGGTGTGGTTTTTTCCCCCTCTATGCATCTTAACGTAGTTTGCTTATGGGGTCTCAGATCTGTGTCTAAACCTGTTTTAAGGTATTTTATGTCTAGCTCAGGAAGCGAAAGCATTCTGGGGAAAATGTAGATACATTGTATTTAAAAACACATAGGAGTTAATGAGCTTTTCTTGCACATTAACTGGTTTTGCGGCATACGGTTAGATAGAATAACGTATAGGTTATTAAATGAACCCTGCAGTGTTAAATGTGATGTCGTGGATGCGAGCGGTGTGAGACAAGACAGTTAAAATTTGAATGGTGACCAAGAATCTTTTAACAAAATCTTAGATTGTTTGGCTGCTTTCAATTTGAGAGAAATAACATTGTAACAGTTGCTTAAGCTGTATAAACTAATTGTATACTGTAAATCTGTTTCAGAAATGGTTATGTATAAAGTGAATGTTTGATAGATGATCATTTTGGATACCTTTAATTCAGCTAGTTCCATCATTTCATAATAGTTAAAAACCGAAAAGCAGTAAACTTGCGTGAAGTAGAGCAATAGGCAAAAAATTTGTTTTGAATATTTGGTAAATGGGTTTTATTAAGGAAAGTTTCTAGTCTGTAAATGGTATAGGCAACGTATCACCTGTGATCTGGGTGTGGCTTGTGACGCCAACAGCTACGTTATTTTGTCTTTTACATTACTGACTGGTAACAGTGAAGTATTCAGGTGACCGCTGAAGGTGTTGGAAAGGTACGGTCAGTCGTCAGTGAGGCAGAGCTGTGCTCCAGCTGTGGGCTGCACAGAGCTCAGCTGGCGGCTGCTGTGCACTGGAGCTGCACAGCTAGTTCTGGCAATAAGTAGGTTTTCTTCATTTCTGATGTCAGCAACGTTTATCCAAGTGTATAGTTGAAGTGTAGTACACTTATGAGCATATTTAAGTTCATGACTATATTTTGAGCAAACAGTGCTCAGCAGACTGGACATCTTTACAGGGGAGCTATATGTTTCTGTAGAGCTTTGATTTAAAAATTGCATTTTATGAAATACACGGTTTTTGTATTAGAATTTGTTAAATTAATGTAATACTATAATTTGCTTTTATTTGTATAAAAGGTGTCAATATATTTAGTGCATAAAAGATAAAAAAACCACTGGGCTTTTTTAATTCTGACTCTCTGCATGATAAAGGTGGAGTAACAGGAGTAGTCTTGGGGAGAGGATGTGTTTTCACTAAATTAGTGTGCAATGTAATCTCATTCGTAACGTAGCGAAAACCTCTTTGGGCCGTGACTGCTGGTGTCGCGGTGTCAGTGAGGTAAGTCAGTCCGTCGCTTACTGCTGTGGTAGTGGGAATAACTGAAAGGCAAGACACAACCTAAAGACCAGAGTTCTCTCGCTTCTGGAATTCACATCTTTGAAACCCAGCGTTCTGCTTCTCACAGAGAGACCTCCTTTGGGTCGAGGTGGGGAACGTGTTCACGGCTGAAGGCTCTAGGCTTAGTTGGAACGGAGCTGCTTCCCCAGCCAGGGAGCTAGCTGGCCTCTTCTGAGGTCACCTCTGTTCTGTGGCATAGACTTCAAAAAGTCCTTCATAGGTGAAACGCAGTACTGTAACAAGAAAACCACTTGAAAGCAGTTGGCTTGCTCTCCCACTGAAGGTCAGCGTTTTTTTTTATACCTCAAACCAATTATAGCACCCTTAGCCCAAAGAATCCAGCTATAAAACAAACTTCCCAGGCAAGCCTGTATTCTTAGTAGCTTCAGGAAAAGCTACAATGCTCCTTTTTGGCAAATGTTGTACAATTCTTATTTTGCCTTCTACACATGCTGGAACAAATGAACAATTAAAAAAAAAAAAATCCATGACGCAGGTAGTAACAGGAGTACCACAGACTGTCATGAAGTTCATTAGAAACATGAACACGGGCATGTTATTGCTGTATAAAATAATTTTCCCTGGGTTCACCTTTATTTCTTGTTTTCAGAAGCAGCTAATCCAGTGTTGGCTTGGTTGTCCGGATTTGGATAGGAGTTGTTTAAGTGTGCAGTCACAAATCTTGCCTCTGAACAGAAGTGCTACATCACTTCAGGGAATTTTTGATATAAAATTACTCTTGAAAGCTGCTGATGCCAAACAGCTGGGGTGATCCTGACCAGTTAGGCTAGTTTACCATGAGATAATCTATCCAAAGGGAAAAGGTGAGTGATTTAAGAACAGCTGTTTACATTGACTTTGTAGTTTCCTGCAATTTACCTAAAGCTACAAACTTGTGAGTTTAAGTGGCTTTTTTAGGGATTTTTTTTTTTTAGTCAGAAACTTTCACTTAATACTATGCAACTGATTTAACTACGTAGGTATAGACTAGCTATATCTATTCCAATGGCTGTTAAAATTTTGATGTGTGCCAAACTAATTTCTTGTGAATTTAAAGCAGGGTTCAGCGGGGCCTCTTTATACTTGGAGTAGGCCTGACTAAAATCTAAACATTGTTGCATTACTTCAGAGAGATTTGGCTTCATCTCTGGCCGGTCTAGTTGGTTGCATGTGGAATGGTAAAAAGAAGTGCTGCTGCTGCTGTATCTAAAATGGGAGCATTGATTCAATGAGGAATTTTGTGAAATCTTAAAGGGACTGAGAACTTCAGTGTCTGTAGTTCAGACTACAAACTAAATTCATTTTCCTGAAATAGAGGTGCTGTACAAACAAGTTCCTTGGAGACAGGATTGAAGTTTAATCAAAACTAGGACAGTGAAACCAGAATTAACCTTAGGTGTTCTGTATGTCCATCTGTTCATCCTTTTTCTTAGGCTTTCCTTGTAGGATCACATCCACTGCTGGCTGTGGTAGTTCAAGTGCTTTGAAACGGACTGTTTCTGCTCTGTCTTCCACCTGTGCTTTTGTAAGACGGCATTTTCTTGCAAAATGCTGAGGAACTGGGACAGCTTTGGACCTTTCAGAGGGAAATACGTGTTCCTTCCAGTCTCGATGCATGACAGAAAAGTCATTTGCCATTTTAGGACAATCCTGCACGAAGATCAGCTGTCATGGCCTGTTACGTGAGTAAAGAGAAAGATTCTTGTGATTCCTTGTATTGTACTTCATCTGTTGTATAGTCTCCTGTGGCTATAAGGTGAACAACTGTAATCCAGGCTGAAGTCAATGAACTGGCAGTCGGGCAGCCTGCATCTCAGAACCCGATTTAAACGTTAGTAAGGCAAGAACTTTGGTGGATGTGGCATCCTGCAAGTTTTGCTGTTTTATCCCTAAGGAGCAAGAGAGAAAAGTGCCACCCCGAGCCCTCCCCCAAACAAAGGCTCGAGTGTTTGGGGGAAAGGAGGAAAAAGGTTGATTTCCTAATTCTGTAGCTGAAATCTCCGACAGTAACAGAGCACCTGGGCTGAAGTCCTGTCCACCTACCTGATGACTGGCTCCTCTCTGCCCTGGGAGGCTCAGGCAGCCACAAGCTGTTCTCTGCACTCTCTAACAGCCTTAACACAGCGGGAATGAGGCAGGCTTTAGAGCAGTCCCTTCTCCCGTGGTCTTGTGACATTAAGCCCTTCAAGGGATCTTGACTCTCAAGGGTGACAGGAACCCTCCAAGTTAAATTGTTTCAGGAGGTGTTGCTTTGCTCTAACTGCTCACCAGCCATTTTGGTAGTAGTATGTTAGATGGTGTGGTATCAGCTGGGAAATTCCTTCCAGGAGTCTCATTCACAATAATAGTTTTTAATCACAGAACCCCACAGACTCAGTCTACCATTAATACTAAATTTAAAGTGTGATGTGACATGGGAGATGATTCTTTTAATTCTATTAGTTTTCCCTAGACTGAACATCGGATGTTCTCTGGATGGCTGGTAAGGTCTATTTTCATTATCTAATTTTGCTAATTTGCAATTGGCAGCTGATGGTGGGGTTTTTTTATGCTTTAGACTTATACTTTAGACCACTGTAAGTGGAAGAGCAGAAGCCTGCTCTGCTTTTTCAAGTTATTCCCTAGTTGTGGTGACTTCAAAACCAGAAGAACCTCAAGGTCACTGACACCCTCCTCAGTTATGGTACTGAAGGCAGCTGCTCTCCTAGTCCAGAACATCTGTGAGTGAGTTTGTGAGGGGGAAGGCAGCAAGCATTTGTACCAGCTTTCCTCATTCCATGGTCCTTATGGGAACAGGAGCCACACACTCTATTTGACCTTGATGTATGACAATCCTTGCTGGAGAACCCTACTGGAGCAAAGTGTGGGTTACAGCCCTGAGCAGCCCAGTGGTATAAAAATGAAGCAGTCTTGCACAAGACGACTGTGCAGACAGAGATGCTTGTATTATAAAACGATCATGTATTTTTACCCTTAACTGCAACACGCATAAAAGCATAAAAGCAGGGAGCAGAACCAAGCCCAGTCTAAAGTGACCAATAACTGCTGTATCAAAGCATGAGTGATTACTCAATGATGCATTTGCTGGAGGAGTTTATCCTTGAGCCTGGCCATTAGGACAGTCCCCTGGTTCCTACCATCAGGCGAGTGCTAATACCAGCTGGTTGTGAGTGCAATGGTAGGTGTGAGCCTATTATTCCTGCTCTCCCGTGCAACCTTCAGCAAGAAGATGGCCACCTCAAATGCTCAAGCTGTTTCAAGGCAGTTTTCAGGCAGAAACAACACCAGATCATCAGGGGTACAGAAGCTGTTAGAGGTCACAAACATTTGCTTTTTAAGTGACAAAAGTGTCATCTTTATGGATTGATTCTGGGCTTGTCTAAACTTCACAGAAGTAGCCTACTCATCACCTCTGTTATTTTGGATCTAACTCTATAGGCCTAACTCAAAGATTCTGCCTACAAGAGAGCCCTACATTTGCTAACTTCAGTCTAAACGCTAGTGAGACTATTTCCAGTGCAATAATTAATAAACTTCAACAACTGTACCTCTCCAGAATTGTGGTGTGTGCTAGTGGAGTTTATTTCCACCCAGCTGTGCATTCAGTCTGAACAGCCGGCTTTCAAGTTTCTGAACAAAAACTCCCAAACTGAGAGAAGCAAAGAAAGGGAGGGACTCTCTCTCCAGCACCTGTGGCCAGAAGGAATAAATACCAGCCTCAGAAAGAACTCATGTCTGTCAAAAAAAGGGCAACTCCTATGTTGGTAATCAGTACCTTTAAACTGAGGATAGAGTTCAAAGTGCAAAACAGACCTGCATACACACATGGCTGCATGCAGGAACTGTCAAATGAGCGTCAGCGTGACCTGCTGCTGGGTACACTCAGAGTCTGTCTCGAAGAGCTGCTGCTTTCTGCTTCTGCCTGGAAGGGATGCAGTATCCTTGGCAAGTAACTGTACAGTTGTCTTTATCTTTTTTTGTTGCCAGAAATTTACTGTCCTCTAGCTTGCAACTAACACACCCTAGGATGTAACTGTTTCCCTTTGAAGCAACTCCTTGTACCAGACAGAGTATTAGGGTTAGAGTAAAACATGCTAAATTAAGCAGATTGTACAGATAAAATAGGAAAAGTGAGAAGGGCTTTTACTTAGCTACAAAAAAACCAGGACATTATAAACTTGTACTGATAGAACCATGAAGTTATGTTTGACCACAGACAGGAAAAGTGATTACTTCTTTCATATAGACATCCACTCTTTTTGATCAAGTTCTTTAATAATCATGAAGGTTTTACCTCTGCAACCAGTCAGCTATGTCAAGTTGGATAATCTCTCTAGATATTACTGGTCCAAAAACAAACAGCCATCTTTTTGATGGTTAGGAGCTGCACAAGGCAGCTTTGACAGGTGGGATTCAGCTACTATTAATTAGCTGTGTATTCCAGGATTTGGCATTTCCAGTTCTGTAAGGCTCTTCTATGCATCACAAAATACTCCAGCTATTAGGGGAAAAGAACAACTTTGGTGCGTAGGGTCCCCAGGTCCCGTATGAAGACAAGCAGTACTGCACAGGGAACACACAGCACTGTCAGGCTAGGCAGAGACCTCTGCTAGGAAGGAGCATGACCTACCCTACCACGGTATCTGCTTCAGGCTCAGAAGGGCCTCTAGCGGCATCCATGCTACAAGCTTTTTAGCAAATGCTAGAGAAGAAGCTTTGGGGGCTTCTATTGGCTTCATTCCATGATCCTATTTCCCTTTCAGAGCTTTGGACACTGGTTTTGAGGTTGAGGCTTTTTCCTGAGAAGATAAATGTGGGTTCAATAATGCTGAGGGTTTCGAAGTCATAAAAGCACACATCAGCAAGAATGTACCTTCTGTAGACAGGCTTGCTGCACCCCTTTAGCTTCCCTAGTGCCTCCTGGAATACCTTCTCGGTGGGTAATCTAAAGAATCTGAAGCTCAGCTGGTGAAAGCAAGGGCTCGTGACTTTGGCTGCAAAGACTCAAGTCTTTCAGGCTGAGGCAGAAGATGAATTTCACATAACAGTGGAACTAATCAGCAGCTTTCCCCTGCAGAACAGAGGTGCTCTCATCACCCCATTCCTCTCCCACTAGCTCTCATGCTCATCCCATTACATGATAATGCAATTCAACTAATTAATTTTATTGACTTTTAAACACAAGGTTAATCTTCTGCCATGGTTATGATTTGAACTAAATCACTGTGTACTCACACTGCGTACTCCCCTCTCTGGCTGCAGCACACTATTAACTTGGCTCAAGCCAAACAAAACCGCAGAGTTGAGTTCCTGTGTTACTGCTTAGCCATGATGCACTAACAACCTCTGCAGGAGTGCTACTCACTCTGCAACTAGTTTAAAAAAAAACCCAAAACAAACAAAAAGCAAGCAGTGTACACTTGGAGATGATTATGCTGCTGCAGGTGTGGGTTTTGTGTATAGGGACCTTCCCGGTCTCCAGAAAGCCGGTGTTCCCATGGCTTTGGTCAGCTGGGTTTAAAGGGACCTAGCCGCCAAGCCGCTCTAGGCATAGCCTGGAACAGGACCCAAGGACACTGCAGCTGGCACAGCACCACGACTGGCTCACTGCCAGTGAGCGTCTGCACTCACTTTTTACAGGCAAATCTGTGACAAGTGTGGAGTTTTAACTGTGACTTTGACACCCCACAGACTCATTGCTTCTTTCGTATTAAGGATTCCATGCTTTTTAAAGAAATTTAAAAGGAACATAAACATAACTTCTCTGAAACTGACCTAATTGAAGCCTCAAGTAGACTTTAAGACAGGAGACAGCTAGAACATGGCAGTTATGCATCAAAATTGGCATCAAAACAGGCTGTTTGCCTTCAATCTGTGCTAGAAAACACACACAAATCTTAGGAAGAGCCATCTGTATTGTGTTTACAGAGCAGCTGAAGGACGGAAAGTGGTGAAAAGACAGCACCCATGCCACCTTCTGATAGATTCACTGCCCCTTCCCACACCGCTCATGAACCACAGAACAGTGCATAGGTCCCAGTTGTACAAACCAAAGAAGTACAGGAACACCGATCTAAGGCACACGCTGAGGGAACTGAGCACATCTAGGCACTCAGGTTTGTTAGCTCCAACACAGGGATCAGCCTGTGCATGGTGTCCCATCTCTGTTGGTGGCCACGTTCTATCTGTTGCCACCTGGCCACGTATGTGGAGAGCACCTGAGAGCAGAGCAGGTGGGCTGCTTCCCGTTCACCTTCAGGCACACACAGGGGGCCAGGAGGAGCCACATCAGGCTACCTTCAGGCAGCAGGTGTCCTGGTTACACAGATGCTCGGCCAAGTCACAGATGCTGAAGCATTCATGGACATGTCATACAGGCAGTAAGAAAAAAAGGCAGAGTCTTTCACATGGTCCAGCAAAGGCTCCCCAACACCAATTTTACCATTAGCAGTGAAATGTACAAAACTTCAATACCATCACAGTAGTGCTCCAAAATCCTTACAGATATTCTGACATAAGGGCAAGTTCAGTTCTTCAGTAAGCAATTATACACCAAAGGACATTTTGCTTCCAATAGGCAAAGGGACCTCTTCATAAATTATTTTGAGATAAGGGAACTTCATAGGTAAAAACCAATATTCCAAGTTGTAGAAGAGGTAAAATTGATGATTCAAGATGACACGATCAATTATTTTTAAAAGATCCACAAAAAACTCTCTTACTGTCCGATGAGGTTTGAATGGATAGTAGAAGTCTCTTATAGCTGCTGCCAATGTCTTGTTTCCTAGCGGTCCAAAAATAGACGTTTCATTTCCCAAATAAACAGGTTCTCCACTGAATAAAATTATGCTTGTATAATTTGTTTGTATCTTCTTAAATACAGCTCCTAAGTCAGCTAGCTTCTGGTATGTTCTCAGTATAAATTTAGAGCATTCGTAAGAGTCAAACCATACTACTGATGGTTTGTCGGGACTTGCTTGAACTGTCCAGGTCTCATAGTAAATGCCAGTCTCGTTGTCATATTTTACCCATTTTGCCATTTCATTAAACATGGTTCCTGCAAGAGTTGAAAATAAGTATTACCAAGACAATATAACAAATACACAACTCAAAATATTCTCCATCTATTTCAAGGTTCACCTCCCTTCCCTGCAAAAGTTTACCTACAACATTACCTAACCATACAAAGACACAAGGCTTAAGTTGGAGGGAGAAGTGATACCCCACTGAATAAACCATATTTACATGTAAGCTATTTAAACTGTAATTCCCTTTTCTGCCCCATTTCCTGCTACCATGCTAGAACATGCACACGTCAGAGAACCATGACACTTCTCGTTTTCTTTTATCCATGTAGACAAACAGGGCAGGCAGTACAATCTACAAGAGATGCTGACAAAATGTTCACCAGTGCAACAGACATATCTGCACTTCCTCCAGTTTTAACCAAATTTAGCAGTTCGGGGCAGAAGTTTTCATGTCTCTCCACAAAAGAAACCTTAGACTCGGACACCCTGCTGTTTTAGCAGCTCCTTAGCCAGCAAAGTTGAACTAAGCCAAATAATGAGTGGGATGTGAAGACCAGTAAACTTCAAGACCTTGAGGATTATTTTATTATTTAGAGTATGTTTGGAGTATTTTGGTGATGATGATTTCACAACTGGAATGAGGAAGACATCTGTAACTCAGCTCATCTCTGTGGTAGCTCCCTACGGGCAAAGCATCTGCCTCCCCAAAACAGAGCTGAAGCACAGGGCTAATTTTCCTTCTTTTGTTTTTCCTGTATTCCTAGCACTGCACCTCAGCCTAGCCCTGCCCGCCCTCTCTTTGCTCACTCACAGCACAGGGTACAACCATCCATGATTTGGATCCGTCTAGCACCTCACATTCATAGCATGACTAAATTTTGCAGATTCTTCTTGCATGATACATCAGAAGACATCGTCAGACGACAGCTTGCAATTGTGACAGTGTTCCAAGCCTTGATCTCTCTTTAGCTGCATCACTGCTGTGGGTACAGTAACTGTGCTTGGTACCTGCTGAAAGACAGGCAAGACTATTGCAGGCCGGGAGACTGGCAGCAGTTACCTGGCAGTTCAGGGGTGGCAGACATCAGACAGATCTGTGTCACTAACACCACCCTGCACGCAACAACCAGCCTCTTGCATTAAGTCTGAATTCACTGCAATGCCACATTCGTCAAGATCAAAGAGCACTGCATGCCACACGCCTCCCTCCAAAACAAGCTGCAAAGGTCAGATTGCTGGGTCTACTCTTCATCAACGAGTAAACACATCTCACAGTCACCCTAAGGCAAGGCCTGCGTGCAAGCTACTACCTCAGAGTAACTAAAGCTCTGCACATTCATCTCCTAGGCTACCCTATTATAACTGTTCTTCACTCCACACTCAAGAGCTTTTGGGCTTCACAGTAAACATAACAATCATTCTGTTTAGTGAAAAAGCACTGGATATTTCTTTTGTAATTGTCCATGACCTGGTTTAATAAAACAGCAAGTCGTTAAATCTGTATCAAGAACTGTACTTACTATACACTACAGTTGGGCTTGAAGCTCTCCTTTATCTTCTCTAATTCCGACCAGATTACCTTCCTAGTGTGTATTCTGTAAGGTGTGTTATTGAAAAGGATTTGTCTCTCCTAACAAGACCAAGATGGACTTAATATGAAGTTCTGGTCTTAACATCTTAAATTAAATAAAAATATTACAGGCTAATGCATGGCTCCATGACCATCTATCGGAAGATGCCTAGACAATCAAAAAATCAGACTTTGGATATTCCTGCCCTATTCCCACAGAAGAAACATACCCCTAAGTAACATTAACCTGGCCGACAGGCTTTAAAAGAAAACGGGATTGCTTTGCTGCAGACTCTGACACTGCTGACAAACAGCTCTATAGGATCTCACAAGGGCAAAGAGGGTCCAGCTGTTTCATACGTTAAAGCCCTCTCCCATGACATGGGATGCTTTTTGCCTGCTCTCTGAAGGAAGCAAGTTCAGCTCATGCTGCTGTCCATCTGTGCTTGCATCCATTCACCCTCTTCCACAGCAACTTTCAGATTCCTAGTCACACTCAGACAATTCAAAACTCTCAGAGATGCTACCTTCCTAAAAGTTTCAGGGAAACAGGAAGCAAGAGAGACAAGGAGGACCGTAACAATGCCTTCACAAGGCACCAGCGTAACCTCACCTTTCTTAGGCACCAAATAATCCACACAGGCAGGAAGCATTACAAGTTCCACAACTGTATGAAAACATTTAACTTGGTATTCATACAAAAGAATCCAACCACATCAGGCATCAAATACTGTAGTCATGAGCTACAAACTCACAGGAAAGCAGCTCCACTTATTCCATTGCTTAAAGAACAGCCCAGAATTTCTTAGCAGCACTGGACAGATTATCTAGAGACTGAGTCCAGCAAAGCTGCTAAAGGTGGAAGAGGGCAAGCATAAAGCACCACATCGCACCAGCGGTAATCTGACTCTCCACTGTGCCTTGTACACTCTGCGGACTTTGGAGAGTAAGTGGTGTTGGTCACACAAAATGCAAATCTCCAAGTAGTCCTCAGTGGACTTTGTTCATAAGTCATTCATTGTATTACTACAGTAATCAACCAGATTTATTTAAACAACCTTTTTATTTTAGGATTTCAGTGTTCAGTATATACTGGGAAGATATTCTAGTGGTCATCCACGCATTTAGAGGTGTAAATCCTGGTTTTGTTCTACAACATATGACAAAGACTTATTACTGGGGACACTTGCAGAGTTTTTATGGCATATAATGGGGGAGCTGGAAATAGAGATTAATATTTTTTATATTTTTGAGACTATTTCTAAATATGCCTTATTTGTTTGCTCAGTAATGTACACATTTTCACCAGTTTTTCTATCTCAGCAGTCATCTGCCACTTCACAATAGAAGGTTTTGTTTTGGTGAAGCCATGTGAAAAGAGTCCATAATGACTCTGTATAAGCTGGTTTGCTATTTTTGCACTCAAGAGACTCAAGTGTTTTTGTACAGCACCACCAAATGACTCTCATTTGACAACTCTTCAGTGTGCGTTGTTCAAAAGGCAGCAGCCTCATACCACTTTCTGTATTGAGGAGAGTGCAGAGATGGTATTTCAGTTTGAAATTAGCATCAGTGACTAACATTGCAAATAACCTACAAAACATAAATTAAAAGATATGCTTTACATGAAGACAAGGCTGACTCTGTATATTATGATATTAGCACTATCCAAAGCATTTGAAATCTACCTGATATTGTGGTCACGAGAACTAAAGTTCCATTTTCCTTCCAGTGTGCATCATCTATTCCTTCATAAAAGCAGGCAGCTCCCTGGTTACACCAGAATGGTGCATCCATGCCAGGCCGGAGATGTGGAAATGTGCAGTTCCCAAGCTGGAAGAGCTCATACCACTCCATTGTGTAGTTTTTGCCTGTTAGAGAGCTCTTAAAACCCACAGCATCATGCATAATTTTCTGGAAAACAAAAAACCAACAACACCGAAACCTCAAAACTTGAAGATAAAAATGACTTCAGCTTCACCTGTACAGAAGATGTGATGCCTGGGAGCTGTTGTGTACAGGTTGAGAAGAGGGGAAGGTGTTCCGCTAACATCGTGGATTCAGTAGCATTGATGCACAACATCTTAGATTGTATCACACACATACTTTTATCACAGTCACACTGTCTCAGTGGTTGTCTATCCATCCATTGTAAATTTTGTTGTTTGGAGGCAGATACTCAGCAGCAGCTCCTCATCAAAACTCAAGTTTAGTTTGGAATCCTTAACCTCACAGGGTTATCAAAGAAATAAAGAGCAGAACTGAGTCACCAAAACCAGATCTTACTAATGAAAGCCACAAAAGGAACAAGATAAATATTTCTTTTAAAAGCTGTATAGTAAATACATAAATTCAACTTTAGTTTAACAACTGAGATACCGATATTTGAAGCTATTTCCATTTTTGACTCCATGTGCTTGGTTTTGATGTTGCTACTTCATGTTCACTAGTATTTCTTCATTTATTAGGAATCATGCTTTGAAGCTTAACTATGCTACCTCTATAGCTATAAGTATTACTAAAGTCGAGATTCTTTCATATTTGCATGACTCCGTGAACGGAGACTTTAATTCAGTACTGACCATAACATCCAAGAAAGAACCATGAAAGCAGCCAACTCCCCCTGATCCACCATTCTGACCAGCTTGCTGTCCACTCCTGACAGATATCCATGTTCATGCAAATATATAAGTTTTTAACAACAAAAAAGTTAATACACTAAGCAAGCATTTCATCTGATACAAGAGGACAAATAAATTCATTTTCTTGATGCAGCACTAGCGCAGAAAAAAAAGACACCCAAAATGTAATGGGGTGTGTATACAAAACATGCCCAATATGCAGCTCCACAGGGGAACACATTCAAACCCACCGACAGTGCCGGTTATGCTCTTTAGCTGAGCTGAGTTCTGTAACTTTTGTTTGGAACTTACTACTGTTTGGGTATCTTTCCTACAGATAGCCTAGCTTGTGTGCTCCGATACTCTTCCATACAAGCATATCCCAACCTTACAGCTCCCATTCTTGACACCTGTTGTTGAATTCAGCTGAATTTGTAACTATAACTTTGCTAAACAAAAGCATCACCTTACCAAATGTCCTAGTAGGTCCCCATATTTGAATTCCCATACTGGAGCCTGTAATCGATACACTTCAATGACATCTTCTTCTTTCATAACTGGAATGGCAGAGCCAGTAGGACAGAAGGTGTAACGAGCTTGGCAGTAAGGATCAGTTTTGGGACGGTAATCAAAGCGCCTGTGGTGAGAAAGAGAAGCACACAGAATGATAAGCACAGCTTCACAGCCGGAGTAACTGTCTTATGGTTTCCTAAGGGTCTGAGTGGGAGAGCTCAAGTGTCCAGCAACCCCCAAAGACAGATTCTGTGATCCAGATGCTGCAACACTTGGAGTACACAAGTTCATAAGGCTGTCGAGGTGCACGTTTGCAGAAATGGGACTTAAGACTCACAAATGCAAGCCATGTCGTACACAGTACTGATAGTGAAGGAGCAGAAATAATGCAGGTTACAAAGGCTGACTTACACTCACAAAATCAGACACACACAGGTGCTAGGTAGATGACAGTTTGAGATCTGCCTCACAAACAGTCTCCTAACAGTTTGTCTACAGAGGCGTTGACCAGTTTGCTCTGGGAAACTATTCTATACTAAGAGCTCCCCAGATGAAGCTATTTTAACTCTAGAATATTGCCAGTATCAAAAAGAAATATTCTATTCCTCTATGCTAATTTAGATAAAGAGGTCTAAGAACCTAGCTAGGACTGCTGTTTCCATTCATCATTCCTATTAAACCTCAAAAACAGAAGATCGAATCTGCTTACATATCATACTATATACAAACAGCAAAAAAAACCTTTCTGACAAGTCTTACTTTCCTAATTTCCTTCAGATTCACTTACTGTATTTCACTTAAAACAAGGTTCCTCTGTTGCTGTTACCAAGACAGACTGGCCTACACAGCTTGCTCAGAGCACAGCCTGAGAGTCTAACACACTCAGTTGCCCAGGGCTACTGAATGGCACAAATACCCCAGCCATGAGATGACTCAAGGACACAGGACTTCATGAGCCATAGTAAGGACAGTAGCCCTGCTGAGACACCATTGATTTTCCCTGTGGACTTCTTCTCCAAGCTTGCTGGCTACTTCAGCATGTCTGCCGTTATTTTGTCCAGGGTCGGGGAAGAAAGAAAAAAAGAAACAAAAGAGTATGGCTGGAAAAAGAACACACAGTTAGAAAACACTTATGACAGCCACACATTTAAGTCCTGTTTCTAAATTGCATGCCTTACATTTTCAATTTCCCCTCCCACTGCACCTTGCATGTGACAAGAAGGTAACAAGCACATAAAGAAGCATTAAAATACCACATTTCTGAGTATCTCACATTGAGAAGCTTGCACTCCAATTCTGAACATCCCAAGACTCAGTCTTGCAACTACTGAACTTGTTGGAAAATCCAAACGACCCGTGACTGCAAGATCAGCTCCTTCAGACATCACCTGATACAAATTTAACTGCTAGGAATTACACAACAGGCTTTCAAAACTTCAGACGTGCACTAGATAGCAGTTAAACATAGATAACACCTCTCTTTTCAAACAGCAAACCTGCACAAAACACATGCAAGCATAGCCCTTCTCCTTCTCATATCCTCAGCATAGCCAAAGCCATAGCTGTTCACTTCAGTAAAATGCAACAACATGCACTCTTCTGCTTTCCCCAACATCACCAGGTCTTCTGCGGAAGGTAAGACAGCGCCAGAGCAGCGAACGGGATTTTATACCATTTCATTTATCATGAACAGAAGTATGATGTAAAGATAATTTAAAAAAAAAAAAAATTAGCCTGACTTCGTCATCGCAGCTTTTTGCTAAGGAATTAAAGCAGCATCTTTAAAGCAAGGGCAGCCATTCCCGGGGCCAGGGATCCCGCTGCTGACAGAGCGAGCACAGCTCTAGGCCAGGGATGGGACAGCCGTTCCCTTACACTTGTCAGCTAAATACACCAAATATCGTACACTTGACAA